TTGCTCCGCTCGGCGGCGTTTGAGCTTTCCATCTCGCGACTGTTTAACCTGGCATCTTCTTGGGTGCTGCTTAGGCGTCAAAGAAACATTCCCTAGTAGGCGATACGATGAGATCCTCAAGATGACACCTCAAACACAAAGATATAGTGCTGTCATCTTGTTCCTCATCATTATAGCATAATCGTGGTGGTTGTGATGGTGGGGACGATTGTGGTGGACATACTCTCCATAATCCGAGTGGACTGCAGCTGACAATACCAGACTATCTCTTACAGTTCTCCTTCATTGAATTTAGAGGCTCGCTGTGAGCAAGTTTGGCGCAAGTCAGCAAGTTTGGGGACTCGGAGTCTTGGAGTCAACAAGCTAGTAAGCTACAGGAACTCTCACCGCCTTTCTTTGGGTGCATATCTTGAGGACTTTACGGCCTGGGTGGGTACATGCTACTGCCAACCTTGGACAATGTGCACTTCAGGCTCTTTTTAGAAGATCACCTTTATGCTCCAAACCTACCATGGGGCTTTGCAGTCGCTTAGATGTTGCAACCTGTTACCCTATGAGGACTATGAGGGAATATTCTTGGCAATTGCTCTTCAGGTGCCCCCCAGGCAAACATGTAAGAGTCATGTGGGAGAGGATGCCGCCAGGATACCGCTTTATGAAGCTAGTTTACATTACATGTCCATTGTGTTTTCCACTATTGGTACCCGAAACCCTCTCCACAATGCAAAGCTACTTCCCACCTCCAGCGCGGTTGCCTGGCACGCATCCGCCTCCAGTCGTGCCTTCAAGCTGCCATCACCAAGAGGTTTGGGGTTTAGGTTTTGGGGTGGGAGACTCCTTAACTCCTAAGCAGCCTTTTGTGTTACGTGCCTATCCTCCTTACGAGTCGACCAGCATTTCTGAACTTAGAATGTTCTTACGAACGATCCGCAGCCGCCATGCTTTCAGACATTTTGGTCCTAAACCCGACATCTCCAAGTCTCGATTTCCAAACGTATGGCGAAAATCCTCAACACAACAGACTACAAGCTTACAACTGCAGCGCCCTAAGCCCGAAGTCACCATAGACCATTGAAGGGCACCACCCAAAGTCAATTCAAGGAAAGATGCTTGCAGCATATAATAGTTAGTGTAATAGTTTCAATTTAACGACACCGCGCAGCGTCTTACAACCCCCACATAGCAAAATAAGGCAAGTACGAAAATGCTAGCTCCAGCCTCTTGCATTCTTCCTTCTAAGATAAACTGAGTCAAGGTGCGCCAGCTTCTCTGAAGTCAAACTCCTTCGGGCCCCATTTGAGATTCAGCCTGCGTTGAACACATAAGACTTTGGTGTTCGGGGTCCGAAATCCAGGCGCAAAGGGCTCAGGGTATGATGTCAACAGTTCAAGTTTTCAAAATCTGGGGCTGATATGGGGGCTTTTGTTCTGGTCATGTTTCATGCGTGCTCTGCCTTTTGCTTGCCTGGCCCCCCTAACCTCAAGCAAATCAATTGTCGCCCTCACTTCCTTGTTGCTTACTTATCCAACCTGAAAGGCAGGGAACAAGTGGTTTAGAGGAGGGTTCCGGGCCAATTTATGATTGGAGGAACACCAAGGCCTACTCCACTTGATGCAATGTTCTATGATGCCCACCAAAATTACCTGGGTCATTCCTGGTTGGACAGGGTAATGTATAGGGATTGGGCTTGTCACCAATACTTGGCGCCTGGACCCACTTAGATAACTCTCAACCCGCGTCATGTTCGCTTGCAAGCGGGCTGAGTAGTTGCATTAACATTTCAGCTGGGTGGATCTGCTGGATGTCAAACGGCTGGCAACTCTGCACAAGGAATTGTCAAGACCCATGGTGCAACGGGATGGTGCGGCTTAAGCCCGAGCCAAAATTCTTACCAGTGTGGCGTTTAAGCCTTACTTGTAAACGCTTGGGCTGCAATAAGCATTTTGCAGGATGCAATTCAAGCAGATGAGCCATACATACTTTTGAAAAGAGAAAACACTGACAACACAGGAGGTGAGCTGGATCCAAAGAACAACAGGTACACAGGCAACTCGACTTTCTCACCTGATAGGCATGGATTGCTTCACATGTATTTTGTCTTACATACAGAACTATAGGCGTTCTCAAGTATGGGACGTATAACCTCTCTTAGAGCTAAGCGCGAGCCAGGTGTAATGATTGTGGAACCAAGTTCAAACATGCATCAGAGTGCCCGGCCACTCTGGAGGCTGGCTGGCAGCTATCTCCACAAAACTTCGAGGAACTGCCCACCTTCGTCTGCACACGGTTTTGCATGGAAGTGGGACACAATGTGGGTAGATGGCCGGACTAGGACGCATGCCCCTCCCCTTGCAAACCCACGGACAACGGGACCAGCACTGTAACACATGCCCTCCAAGTCCCCTGCGCCACGCGCCACCGGGAAGGGCTGGCACCATTTGCACTTTTCAGAGTGATGTCTGTCAAGCGCATTGTGCAGCAATGTGGCCTTTTGCCTGCATGGCCCATGAAGGCATCGTAACCTAGGACAATCCGCATCGTCTCGACTACTGCTGGTTCACCTTCTGCTTGTAACAGAGGCTCTTAAGCTCGCGGCTGTACAAATCAGTCGCACCTTGCCATCTGCAAGTCATGTAGCGGGTCGATGAACAAGGAAACTATTGCTACTATTGCTATCGCAAGGATAGTACCTGGAACTGCTTCGTTGGTGCTTCCCTATAGCGCCACTCTGACTATCCATCGTGTCCAAATGTATCTCCAGATTCCGTACGTACTCCCTACAGATTCCCCATAACCCACTTACCTAAAGCTACACTTTGGGACTGAATGAGAAGGTCCAGAATGCTGAAGACTCTCAATGATTGGGTTTCTAGTCAGGAACTGGAAGTAAGCTTTTCCAACAACAAGGACACCTTTTTGAAAACTCTATATCCGTACCATGGTAACTTAGTTTAGTTCTTCCACTTCTCATATAATGCACCTGTATACCCCTAGTTGCTGTTCGATTTTCTGTTTGATTCTGCATTATGGTAACTGAACCTTACACTCTACATGACCCGTTTCCAAACGGAAACCAATCTGGGAAACATGTTGAGTCATATTATAGCAAGCCAGATGAACCCTGGACTAAAGTCCTAGTACATTCCTTAATAGGTTCCCCCCAAACCCTATATATTCCCCTACAGGTCCCCCCAACCTAACTTTAGTCCGTAGATCAGATGAACCTCCAAGTTTTAGCCTTCACACTTGGCGCCTGCCGATGAAGGCCGTGAGCTTGGCTTTGCTGATGATGGCCTTCCCAGAACTTGGTAGACCCTTATAGTCTAAACTCCTCAAAGAGGGTAATTTAGGGGATTTCAAAGGGGACTATTCTAGGGGAGATTAAGGGGGATACTAGGAGTTTACTGAGGGTTAAGGGATTTGGAGGTTTAGGATTGAGGTTTAGGTTTTTAAAGGGATGTCGGATCAGGGCTTTCGGGGACGATGGCGGTATTCTCTGAGCATGCGCCGACTACCAAGGTATGCAAATCCGTGGTTCTTGCCTTTGGCCTTTGGTCAAGGGGTGCTTTTTGCTTAACATTTCTCAACAAAACCCTACAAGACTACACTTCACTCACTACACATGCACTGAATCCCTTGGGGCCGTCAGAATGAGAAATGTCAAGGCTTTTGGGCTAAAGCGGCTTCCTCTTTGGAAAGCCTTATTCCCCTCCGAACACCAAATGTCTCTTAAATTGGCCGGACCATGTAAGGTGATGCGTAAGTTTGACAATGTCCTACATGATCAAGATCCCCCTTGTCATCCCCGGACAATCCCAATGACCCTCCGAAAGAGATCAGGAAGATTTCTGCGTATTCCCTATAGAAGCCTTGACTAGAAGAAGTCTGTAAGTTTAGGAGACTCCGACCTTGCCCTAGTACTTGGCATATAGGTGGAAGCTGGATTGTATGGAGGAATATGAATTACTTTTAGTATTATACAGTTTCACACTAGGACAAGGATTCTATTCAACACTTCCCCAGCGTGCACCAGATAGTCTTCGCAGCAATAGCAAGCAGCCGCTACCTTGATCGCGTTCGACTTGTCTCACTGGATGGAAAGTCCTCCACGAGATCGCAACGCACTGTCTTACATTCTCATCTTGGGGTGTATGGATCTGGGTTTCAGGGAATTACGGTTCAAGGGCTCACAGTTCCCGACCCCTGGCACCATCCCCTGCGCTACCGTCTTGCCAGGGATGCTCAACGTTGCCAAGCTTTGAAAGAAAAAGGGGGTGCAATGTTGTGATGAATCTAGGCCCCGATACGAATGCTCAGCTATGCAAGGCACCGCTGTTTGTGGCAATTCTACCTGCGAGCCCCAAACCCTGCAAGTCTCACACCGAAACAACCCCAAATCCTTCACCGATGCCAAACCATAGCTTCAACTCTCTGATCCCCTTACTTAGCCTAAAACTCTCAGCACTGAAAGCCCCCTTGCCTGGAAGAGCACCTTGCCCTAAGCCCTAAACTCTGCACAAAGACTCTTTTAGTGCTCTGCCCATCCTTGCCATCTCGAGCCGCGGCTGATTTCGCCACCATTGCCTTGGTGGCATTCAGCAGTCTGAATCAGGGTCTCCACATCAAGCAACACTGATAGAACCGCGGATCTCCCCTGCCACCTTATGCAGTGAAGCTGCTCTACTTGTTGCATTCAGATTCAGCACCATGGCGTGCTGTTTTCGCAAAATGGTTGCCTGAATCACTATGTGCTGCTGCATTGGTTGGTGTATGCTGGGACAAAGGTCAAACACCCTGCCCTGCCAGAAGCTGCGGGATTCATGGTTCACGAGCACAACTGTGGCAAGGAATGTCAGATCTTCATCCAAACTAAGTCTAAGCTTGTTTTTCCGCTGGAAATCTTCGCGCAAGCATCGCAAGCAGCCGGTGCTATGTACAGTGGGCGCGGGCCGGCACGGTTTCATGCAGCCCATGCCCATGCACCGTGACTTGCTCCGGCTTCAATAGAAGGATGAGCCATAGTCCCGCAACGACGCATCTACATCCTCGTCAGAGGACCTGCAGTGTCGGACATCATTGGGAATGGTACGACTTGGGTGCTAGTGCAAACGTTTGAAAGACTACTAGTCAAATGTCCATCGAGCAACGCATGAACTGTGGAATTGGTCATTATGTAGTGGGTGGGCGTCAACACCGGAGAGGAGGATACAAAGGTCGATCAGAAGCAGGCAGCAGCCGGCCGGGGACGTTGTCGTCGTTGCTGTGGTGGTGGCGGTGGTGGTGGTGTTGCTGTTGCTGTTGTTGTTTGCGGTGGTGGGGTTGGCGGTGGGGGTGGTGGTGGCCGCGGCGATCACCTTCGCAGTAGTAGCAGCAGCAGGAGCAAGCAATGATGGAAGTAGTGGGATTCGGGGGGTAGAAGAAAACCCTCACTCCCCAAACCTGCGACCTGAAGGCCAACCTGAACCTCAAGCCTCCACCCAAACCACCCCAAACCCTTCCAAATTTTACAGCCCTAAACGTTCGGGGAACCACTTTTCAAATTGTGTAATCCAAACCCCAAAACCCATTTAGTCCTTCATGAACCTAGATACCTTTCTATCATCCTATATATCATCCTGTGGCCTGGGCAGGCATCCTGCTTCGCCGATTTCCTGCCAAGGCATCCCCAGGTCCTGGCTCTCAGGGCTCTTTAACAGTGGGGGTAATAATACAGGGGGGTTAGGGGTTTAGGGGTTTAGGGTTTAGGGGTTTAGGGTTTAGGGGTTATGCTGGCATACTGGAAAAGAAAATGGAACCCAAAATATTGCAGGGGTTATATATACACGCATTATTCTACTATATGGTTTAGGGTTATGTTGGATATTGACAAGTATATGCTTTGTACGGGGTGATTTTGGGTGTATACTTAAAGGTTGGAGTAGAGGAGTTCTATGAGGATTCTTTTTGGAATAGTTCATTTGTTGCTGCTGCGAATATGTCAGCGTCCAATGAAGGAGTGACGGACACAAAAAATACGTTCTTGCTTGGCTGGGCGGACTGGCTGTGATGGTGCTTTGTTGAGTAGGCACTCCATTATGTCACGGGGTATAGACTCTCCGGGTAGACCGCGGTGTTAGTTTTGGCCCACACCCCAGCAAGCCTGTTCTCACGGCTTAAGATGGTGCAGGATTCATGGCTCCTTCTGCGATTTTCAACCCTAATCTCTAATTGCCCTCTAGCTTAATCGCTTCGCCCTTGAACTTGGCCTTGACAATCCGGTGCAGGTGAGGCATGACCTCCAGGCCCGCTGGGGATTCTGAGGACTTCTTAGGACTCTCTGGGAATGTACATGTGTCGGGTTTCTCTAAACAGGGAATACGCAGCGTGATAGGGGTATACACACATGTATTTGCCATATACAAAAAACGTTTATATGCATGTACTTTACAGGGTTTAGGTTTGAGGGCGCGTCTTGGGATTTTCGGGTTTTGCCGAAATAGGGGTACCCAGGGGGATTAAAGGGTGATAGGCTAGATGTTGACAAGCCATCACACACATACGTATGTGTAACGTATACACGGATATGTATCTATACAGGAACTTGTTCCCGGGAGAATGAAAGGGGCAATGAAGAGTGTTTCGAACAAGACTACCCTGAAGAAGCTTAACAATTTCAAGGAGATTTTCTGGATTCAAGGAGCTCCCCCTTCTCCAAGATGGATTAATGCCCCTCGCCCTCTGATTTTGAACATGCTTTCCCCAAATATGTACGGGTCTCTCAGGGGGAGTATTGAATACTAAGGTTTTGGCAGGTTGCTAAATGTAAGGGGCATGGAATACATATGTAAGTAGTACGAGTACAGCAAGCAACTCAGCCGGATTCATAATCTCTCACAGCTATTTGATTTTACAATTCTCTTGTTGGGATTGGGTCGAACATGGGAACATCTAGACTATCAAGATAGGCAAGGGGCCTCTGATTTTTGAGATGTCATGCGTACTACCTCGAGAAAACTCCATGACAGTAATAAGAGTATAGTCACAGGAAAAGCAGCCAACCCAAACATCATAAAGTTCACGACACAAACCCAATGAATATGTGAACCATAGTCTTAATTCCTAGTATCCGCCTTAATAAGCCCTATAGTAGTCCCCTATATACTCCCCTTTAAGGAGCTTAGATAGCTCATTTGGACAAGATGTTAAGAAAAGTCTGAAGTCAGCCTCGGTTGCGGGGACGTGGAGGCTGAACTCCAACCAAACAAAGACCTTTGAAATCACATCCGGCGTGGGAAGAGTGTGACATGGGTGGATCCTGGGAATTGTAATAGGTATATATATATATATATATGGTAATTCATATGGTGTCCCCAATATAGTAACTAATGGGTATATATATAGAGTAATTAATGAGTTACTACAATGTTGGTTGTGCAAGGTGTTCTCGCTTGTTTGAAGCACTGATGCTATTTAGTTTTGATTGGGCACGTGCGAGGGGAGGCAGATTGCCTCCATCAGAATTCAGGGATTTTGAGGGATCCTTATTCTGTGCCCAAGGAGCCTAATCTCAAAATTCGACTTATCACTGCATCCCCTTTCATCAAGCATCTGCCAGCAGCCCCTGCCCAAACTTGGGACCGTGACCTTCAGCTCTGCTTCATGGAGATCCTCCCATTGCAAGCGGTCCTTCCACGTCAATGCAACTGGCACTTTGCATGCTCTTGGGAAACTGTTCTGCTAGGGTCTAATATTGGGGCCCCCCATTGTTGTGGAAGCCCCTATTCCCGGGGTCTAATGTCTGGGTCCCCCATTTCTGAAAACTGCAAGGCGCACCGTCTGCGCAACGACGCAAAGCAGTGCACGCGCTCTCCTTTCGATCCATTTTACGAATCTCGCCGGCAAGCTTCCTGACAAATGGGTGCACATGTCTACTTGTCAGCGTTGCCCCCAACTATCTCTATCAGAGTTACTGCTTTTATTACCACTAGTACTATTACTAGTACTATTAGTACTATTATGATTATTAAATTAGTAGTAGTAGTACTACTACTACTACTACAACAATTACTACTACTACGACTACTATGACTACTACGACTACTACTACTACTACTACTACGACTACTACTACTACTACTACTACTAGTATAGCTGCTGCTGCTACTGCTGCCACTACTACAAGGATTAGAATCTTCTATTGCAAAGATTATTAAGGCTTAAGGGCCCTTTGACAGACACTCGCCGATCGGAAAAAGCATTGCAAGAATCAGACCGACCCGCCTGATCTTTTCTCGATCACCTCGCTGGTGAAACCTGTCAGGTAGCAGTGCTGTTTCTGTTGCAGAGGGAGCAATACAACTTGGTAGCCTTCCTGTTGCAGGGGTAGCAATGCAACTTTGTAGCTAGGAGCGTTTTTGCTTCGACATCAGACTCAGTAGTCTCTGTCGGACGTTCAAACCGTAAGAGCCAAAGCTTTTTGAAAGGGATCCTACTCCATATCGGAAATTCTTTTTCTGTACCATGCAAAGCCGTCTGCTCGCATGTGGTGTAGACCCAACGCCCGAGTTTCCGAAACCACCCTGGAATCACTGAGAGCCGTTCTGGTTTGAGAAGCTACAAGCTGTTCCTTATGCTCTGACCTGATGCTGCAGAAGTCCCATGTACCGAGACCCGTACTTGTAAGCAAGCACCAAGCAGGCACCCGCCAGGAGCTTTCTGCTTGCCTGCGCCGCACAATGGAACAGCTTAGGGCCTAGGATTGTAGTTTTGGGTATGTTTAAACTCTTGCTGTTTAAGGGACCCATCTGCATTGTGCTGCCAGAGTCGCTGACATGATGCCCGTACTGGTGTCATATGGCACCGAAAATTCCAGTGCAGTTCTTGTACTTGATATGCTTGATCAAAACACATTCTAATGGCAGTGATTCGTAGGCTACCATTACTTGGGTTTACAAAGCTCCATTGGGCTTAGGAAAACTGGCAGCTTCATTGAATCATTACCATTTAACATTCTCTTAGATGTCTTTCACTCTATTTCGGCTATTACGACCACTGTTAGAACCGCCTACTGTCAGGTGAAGGGATGAGACGTCCACTGCAAAGCTCCATACAATCACCAGCATGCTTCATAGGACCTAAGGAACTCCAAGAAGCCATGCTTCAGGGTTTCTGAACTTTGTTCAACCATTCGTTTCTATGCTGAGGAGAACTGCAATTCGCAGCAGCTGCTTTCTATCAAAGGCAATGCTTGCCATAGGAATTCAGCATGATTGGGGGCTGGAAGCCCTCTTCAAGGTGGTCTCAATAAGAACTAGGCCTCTTATCTGGATCTTAGGCCCTACGTGAATTGCGGACGGATCAGAATTTCGAGGACAATTTCCAGGGTCATTGGGATAAATGTCAATTGCAAAGGTTTCATGGGGTCCCTATGAAGGCGTATGAAGGGATTCTAGAAGCCAAATGAGCTATAGTCTAAACGCCTAGTATCTCCCTAAATGACCCCTATACTACTCCCCTATATAACCCCTTTCAAACAGTTTAGACTATAGCTCAAATCTGAAGAAGAAGCTCCCAATTCGACCTAAAGCAACCTGCACACTCTAAACTGTAAACCCTTCAACCCTGGTTGTGAGAAAGCTCCCAGCTGGGAATTGTCAAAAGCTGGGCCCCTCCTCTACATACATATATACATATATATACACACACACACATCCCCAAACATACTATAATCCTTCGGAGCCCAAAAAAGGTATCCTTAATTTTCTGAAAACCTCCACATAATCTGTACACTGCCCAGGCCTTCCTGACGTAATCTTTCAAGACCAGCTTCTCAAAGTAGACCCACCTGGTTATTTTTGATGAAAAGTCTACCCAAGGGATCCGTTTGCTTTGTGGGAACAGGGCGGGATCCTGGATTCAGGGCTTACTTTGGGAAAGAGCTGGGATCAACCGCAAGGTGTGTTGAGACAACCCACCCCTTAGGCTTAAAGCCGCACTAGAGTTTGCTTGACCGTTTTCAATCACAGCCCATAGGTTACCATCTAAGGCCTCCTGGGATGCAGTTGCTGAATGTTCAAAAATTCCGATGCGCCAAAGGCTGAATGTGACCTTTTACGGACTCAGGCTGCGACGCAAGAGCCACGGAGCAAACATCCAATTCCGGCATTGTCTGCGTGATTTCGCGCAAGTCCTGTGCTGATATCTGACCCGTCCATTCAGCACCACTATGACCCTCTCTGCGCCTTCTGCAGGTTGCGCAGTTTGGACAACGTCAGTGATGGATGAATCTGTGGGTGGCCTGAGCTGGTGTTCTTGGCTCAACACCGACTTCATAATCCCAGCATTTGAAGCACGAAGTTGTGCTTGGCATTCTCATATGCCCTTGAAAGCACTCCTCGTATCGCTTGTGTTCTTTATTAGCTTCAGGAGGGCTATCACTTGAGGGGCCAAGTTGCTGCAACGAAATTGGTCGTTGAGCTCATCCTTCAATCGCCGTGCTCGCACGAAGGGCACAATGGAGACCTTGACACTTCAGGCTCGAAAATGGGGTTCCTCAAAGTTTGAGGTCCCGTTTCATGGGACCTGTATGATACTGACTTCATTGTTACGACCTACCTTTAAAGATGTTTTGTTGCATCACATGCTAGCAAAATTGATGTCCCATGAGAAGTATGGTCAGAGAAGTAATGTGATCCCACACCAGAGGCTCAGAGGCATCATATCATGCCTGTCTGCTTCCCACGGGCAATCTCTACAAGTTAGTTTTCCGACTGCCCAAACTGGCCTGATATCCCTCCAGTCTCAGCACGGTGTGGTTTTTCCCCTGCCTGGCATGAATCATTAGGTATAGATATTTGGTTGAGGGAGTGGGATTTAGGAGCGGGTGTTTTGAGATGATGACTGGGTTTTGGTTTAGGCTCTAGGCTTTTTTTGCGATTGTTTTGTGGGGGTGAGGGTTGGGACCCAAAGTGCAAGGTATCCGTGACAGAGCTCCACCTGTGTCGGCATAATCTTATGAATCTTGCTTCGGTAGCTTCCAAACGTCAGCAGCCCAATGGTCAACTTCAGATGCGGAAGCTGCCTTAAAAGGGGGCTGCCTACTTTCCACACTTCACGTTCTGACACATACGCTTCCTGAAGCTGTGACTCTAACTGTGAACCCGGCACATACCCTGCCTCAAACTCTGATCGTCGAGGAAGTCTGGGTCATAGCTGCTACCTTCCACAAGGAGACTTCATCCCCATCTATGGAAAGCTCCTTTTCGTATGGAGCTTTAGTATTCGCAAGACATGCGATGTTCTTTGCAACATGGACACAGGAGAGGTTGTGCAACAGCATGCTTGCTGTGAAGATCGTGATACGAGCGTCGCCTGTGCACGGGACCAAGAACTGGGCATACCTGAGATCAAGCTTGGTGGTCTAAACTTACATGACTTTTCTCCAAAGAAGCAACCGTTACGCACATGAAATTGCTCTGTAGTGGAGATTGTGGGAATACCAAGTGGCACCCTACCTTTGATAAAGACGCATGCTTTGTACTTGGATTTGTCAAGATTTTTTGCCATCACTCTGACACTTCATAAACGTTTCTGTCAGGAGTATCGGATTCGGGGCTCGTTGCAGGGATCCCTCAAATCGGGAAATGCCTTGGACCCGGTTTTATTGATGCAAACCCGCACGTAACCTTATGCACATCCCTAACTTCGAAATACATGATTTCCCTAAAGGTGGGAACCCCAATATAGACCCCCAAATAATACGAATCTTACTTTTGGGACCTCGCTGCCTGGCAGGAGTTTGCAAGAAGTCATACTGCGGGGACTCCGAAAATTTTGTCAGCTCCCCTGCAAGAGAGTGTAGGAGAGTTGTGCCATTGCAGTATAAACATGATCACAAAAATCAAAGGTTCCGTGCAGGAGGGTGCAGGCCATAATGTTTTGGAGTTCTGGAAGAAAACTTTTTACGTGCAACTCCCTTGCAGGAGAGTTCGGTGGAGCTGCGTGATCAAAGTACACGGCCCAAAACGGTTTACCAAGGCGACGGCTTTGCAGGAGTGCGCAGGCAATCGTGTTGTAAACATTCTGGAAACATTCTTAACACAACTCCCCTGCTGGACTGTGTTAAGGAGTTGTGTGCTTGAAATACTGACAACCCCAACAAGTTACGAAGCTGGCTGCCTTGTTGGAGTTTGCAAGCAGTCATACCCTCAAAAACGTACCCCTAGTTTTGGGAATCCCCCCCGATCACCCCTACATAATCCCTTTAAGGGGGCCCGTTCATTTAGAAGGCCTGATCAAAGCTAAGCTCCCCGCGAGGTGCCTTTGACCTGCACGACGTTGGCGGCACGCCGGGACCAAAGCCACCACCTGAGCATTAGGGTGTAGGGTTCAGGGTTTTTGCTTCTTAGCTTTAGGGTAACATACCATCATTAAGTGGGACAAGAAAGTGTAAATGAAGGGGAAACTGGTGTCATATCGGGAGCATGCACGGCGGACAAGTGTTTTGTTTAGGGCCTGAGAACCTTTGGGATAGGAGATTGTATCTTCGTTTGGAATGTGCTATAACTTACAGGGAAACATTTGCTCTGCAGTGAGAGCCACAGACTCCCTTTTGCTTTGTTCTGGGACTTCTGGCTTTAATAGGGTCCAAGGTGGAAGGGATGAGTGAGTGTGGTTTTGGTGCTCAGGGCTGTTTCAAGGGGCTTGCTTGCGGACTCATGAAGAGTTGACGGCATTGCGGCTTAGGCTTGAGATTCAGCAAAATGGTTTGAATAGAACTTGGGTCCGCCTGTACACTTCCTGAAGCTTGACCCTGCGTGTAAAATTCCAGCTCATCATGTTGGGACTTTTTGTACGATCTCAGCCCCACGCCTCTTGCCAGCA